CGCAAGGGCCGGTGTCGGGGCGAGTGCGGGCCGGCTAACAGATGGGCGCGGGGCTGACTACAGGACAGGCGTGGGCGCGGGCCGGCTAACGAACGGGCACGGGGCCGACTACGGGACGGGCGCGGGCCGGTGAAGGGGCGGGCGCGTGCCGGCTAACGGACTAGGGGCGGGCCGGCTAGGGGAAACGAGCGGCTAGGACCTAGGGCGGAAGCGCTGGTGGGCGAGCGGGACCTAACCTACTCATGATACCATGTTAGAATGCAAGAATAAAACTAGTATGTGAGAGTACAAGGCAATTTAGGCTAGTGTGTTGTACCCTCTACGGCACAAACCTATATAGTCTACACTAACATACTAAGTCATGTTTGACAATGTTGAACTTTGTTGAACTCTTGTAGTGATTGCCGTTGCGATGATTACACGTGTCTTGCTAGTTGGTTAGCGTGGATAGGGTGTGAGGCATCAAGGCATCAACTCCGCCATCCCCGCTGTGAATTAGGCATGGCTACCTCTATAGTCACCTCTAGACAAGCTGTGCAAACTAGCTGACCGATGCCATTTCGCGCCCACTCTTGTCGAGTGTGCTATATCGGATCGCTGGCTCGCCAAGGCTATAACCTCTGGGCACATCACATCTCCGCATTGGTGTGAACCCTACTTACGGATCACGCTATCAGATGCTAGAGCTGGGTCGTATTGGAGGGAATTTCGCTTAGTTTCAGCTCCCGCGCCTCCGACATCAACGGTCATCTGCTGACGCACTTACAGCTCATTGCCCCCACAGGTTTAGGTTGTGCATTATGGTGTCCCAGCAGTTTCTCGTCGTCCTATCTCTCGCGTATTTTACGGACTGGCACATCGCGACACGCAGGAGGCTGAGACTTCCATTGCTAGTGCGGTATAAGTGGCCTCCTGCGCGGGTCGTCGTGTGTGATCTCTGTTGCATACACCAGCCCTTTACCCACCCATCATTAAATAGCCCTTGCCGTACGCACCTGTGACTATCAGTTGCTTCTCAATGCACGCGGTTTGCTGCTGTGTCGGTCCCTCAGGGAGCACGTGAGTACACCCTATATCGGCGCCCGCTACATGGGCTGGGTATGCGAATTTTTCAACCTTGTATTCCCTGACTATGCCTCGCAAGACTCGCACCAGCGGACTTTCGACATGTGCAGGGAAGCACAGAGCCAGTGCGTGAACAATGGCCAGACTGTCGGCCCTTACTTTCAGGGGGGCGACCCTGGTCCATCAGCATGCTCAGTGGGCAGCCCTCGGGCGGATCTACCGCGGGAAGGGTCGCCCTCTGAGGTCCGGCTTGCCGGCCCAGAAGCACCAGCGCAACCAGATGGATGTGCTAGTGGAGCCGTCGGGGCAGCGGCGGCGGGTAGCATGGCCTCCCCAGGTAGTGATGATCCATCCGATCACAACTGTGAGAGTACGACCCCGTTCCATTCCTTTCTCCTTCCCTTTCCATTTCATTCCTCTATTTATCCTGATTCCTTTGGTCCTTATCTCATTCCATTTGGATTCCTATTCCTCCTTTTCCATAAACCTTTGGTTTATCCTGTTATTCTCATTATATCATCGACCAGGCCCGTAATGTACAGGCGCGCTATATCCAGCGTAATCCTGCCGTAATCCCTTAAAGCCAATAGCATCGCGTGGCTATACGCAGAGTGATTCTAGTTTCTAGAAGGGTCTATTCCCTTGGGATAGGATAAACCTGGTTACCTGATGCACTTTGGAAGTATAAAAGTGCCTTGTATCAATCGATAGTGGAACCTTTCCTTGACACATTTGATCCTGTGACAACAACAGTGCACAGTCCCTTGATAGTCTGGACCCCGCCGCGCATGGGGATTCGGCTGGGCGGCCTTTTGATACAGAGTACGCGATCTTCCGCCTCATCATGGGTGCGAACAACGGCCAGGGCCTCTCTGTCAAGGACACATCCCTGCTACTCAAGATCTTGAATTCCCACGGGTTTAGATAGGCAGCCATTAGACACTGGCAATCAAAATGGGCAGCACCAGTATCATAGGTCTACGGTGACGGTACCTGGCTGGTCTACACTGTTCGTCGTCCAACACACTAACCCAATTGAGGTGAGTGATGAGGCAAGTGTGGCCATTTGAGTCTTGCCCCAGCCGCAGTGGCACTAACTGTTCTGCTTGTCCCGGGCAGGCCATTCTGGAGCTGTGCAGACATCCGGCAAATGCACCAGGCTTTGTGTTGCATCCAGAGCCCGATAACAACAGCAGTGGTGGGTCTGAGAATCGCCACAAGTACAGCGATCCCAAAACTGGGACGATGTGGCGAATAGCACAGGTAACCGCAGTGGCATAGTGCCTATTTGTTTGTGCAGCTTGCTCCAGCATACTGCCGCAACTTCCGCACAAGCTTCTAACTCACCATTTCCCAAGTATCTGCCCTGTTTGGCTGCCCCCTACCCTCCAGTCCCTTCTCAAGAAAGGAGAGATCATCTGCCCCATCATCTTGGCATCCGGCATAACGGTCCTCAGCGGACACCAGCATACTAAAGTGTGGCCCGTGTACCTGACGGTCGCTAACATCCCCTACTCGCTCCGCTGGCGAGAGACCGGGCGTGTTCTGCTGGCGCTGCTCCCGATGCCCGACGTGAAGATGAGTCCACTGCTGAAGGTTCAGCTCTTCCAGCGGGCAATGCACATCATTCTGCACGAACTGTTTGGTGCTTCTAAGTGGTGAGTCAGCCAGTGCTGCCCACCGGCATCTCCCTGCTGTGGGACTTAGCGCTGGGGCCTGCCTGACATGTGTAGTGCGGCGTGCAGCTGTCACTTTGCATGTGTCTGCCAATCGCATTCAACTCTTTCCCTCACTCTCTTACCCGCCGTCCAGGGGCTTTCCGCTCACAGATCCGCACGGTGTAGTGCACTCGGCGTACCCTATGTTGTTCGCCTACGTTGGAGACTACCCTGAAATCTGCAAGGTCAGTTGCACACTGCAGCTGGGCAGCGACATGCCATGCTCGGTATGCTATGTGGAGAAGGACTTCCTGTGGGTCATCCAAGATGGTCTCAATGAGCGTCGGACGGTGGCCAGGCAGCAACTGCTCCTGAACGATCCCAATTAAGGCTCACAAGTACTCCATGCATCCCATAGAGGCAAGTAGTGGGGGGGGTGGGGGGGGGGTCTTGGCTGAAAGCGTGGGTAGGTGGGGGGGGAGGAGTGGTGAGGGGGGTGAGAGGGGTAAGAGGGGGTGGGGGTTTATTGTCTAGCTACGAATCATAGCTCGGTGCAAGCTCTCATCCTTCTCGGTGGCTCACATTCATTCACGAATCACCGCGCCTCAGTGACTCCCATTCCCCCATCACCACGCCTCACTCACTCTCATTCCCGAATCACCGCGCCTCATTCACTCCCATTCCCCCACCACCACGCCTCACTCACTCTCATTCACGAATCACCATGTCCCGCTCACTCAAATGCCTCCAACGCCATGCCTCACCCCCCTGACCACCTCAACACGACTCACACTCTCTAAGTTCCCTAGCCTCACTCTGAATCACCATGCCTCGCTGTCATGCCTGTACTGCCATGACTCACCTTCGTGCCCATGGCCTTTGTCATCTATGCGTAGCTTCCCCACGGTGTTGCCCCCCTCTGCCCTCTTCCGGGTGTCTTCCCTTCGCCATCATCGGACGTGGGGTATTTCCGCATTTCCTCTTCCTCACCCATGTTTCAACCAACACCCTCAGTGGCGGCGTGGTAGGGCACTGTCGTTCCGGATGCTCTCTCCCTGCTCGGCCTTGTAATACACAGTCGCATGCTCCGCATCTGGTCCCCTGCTAAACAGCTTGGTCCTATACACTTCCGTCCTCCCCTGTCCCCCCCTCACTAGTCCAGTCTTTGGTTCTTCTTGGCAGCAAGTGGCTCCCTTTCAGTGTCCCATAATCCCCTTTCAAACAAATTGCCGTGCCTTTCCTTCTCTTCCTCCGCCCATCAGTCCAACCCCGCACCCCCCGCGTTTCTCTTCCCGCGCTGCTATGTGCCCTTTCACCCTGACCCATGGTGGCTCATGCCACTTGCTGGTTCTATCCTTCATTCCTCTCTGCCAACAAGCCATTCTCATAGCCACATCATAGACCGTTCGGTGGGTCCAGTATCTCCTGCGTGAATCCAGCAGCCGCTATGCGATTTTCATACGCCGCTGTGTAGGGGCACGGGGCATGGCCCCGACTACCCTAAACCATGTCTCTTTTGCTCTTGGTACCCTCCTTTCCCCACATGTTCCCTCTACACACTACAGACATTCTTGTGGAAGTTCCACCATGCCAAGAGGGGGTGGGCCAACACGTACCAGGCACAGATGCCAGATCTGCTGCACGTGTTGTATGGTGGCATTTTGGCTCGCCTCATGCACGTGCTGCGGGGAGATGACGCCAATGCCCTGGCTCTCGATGAGTGAATAGAGTGTATTGTCATCCTCAGTCTGGTGATATTGTACCTATCCTAAGATTGGACATCATTGGACACACCCTTAATGCACTACCCTACTGTCCCACCCTCCCCCCCCACTGTTGTAAAATATATATCAATACAATATGCATGCCTAGATCAGGCGGTGTAGTCATTATATTTATTGGGGGGTTGTTGGTTGGGTTGACTAACCCCACATTTGGGTTGGTCAAGATTGGATTTGGTCCTAGACATTTGGTTGGCAATTTTCCAACCAAATGGTCCTTGGTCCCAAAACCCAACCAATCACCAAGCACCACACTTTGTGGTTGCTTACCTTCCAAGCAACCTCCCCCATTGGTCCACATTGTGGCCAATCGGAGAGCACCACACTTTGTGGTTGCTTGTCCTCCAAGCTACCTCTCCCATTGGTCTACATTACGGCCAATGGGAGACCTTCCCATCCATCTCTTCCTTGCTCCTTGTTTGTACAATAGAGCCTCTTGGCTCCCTACTCAATCTATCTTTTTTCTCCTTCAAGGTAGTTCCTTCACCCACCACCCCCCTGACGCAACCTCAGCCGAGTGCTCGCCATCTTGATGAGACGACACTTGCAGGAGTACCATTGCCATCCGGGATGTACTTTTCCAAGAGCTCGTACTACTCCGCAGCGGAGCATGCCGCCATGCTCATGGTGAGTGCGGGTTGGTGGTCAGTGCCTGCATTTTATATTTTGTTTTTTCTCTCTCATCTGCGAGTTGAGGAGTTTCGTTGGGCCTGCCCTTTCCATTATGCTGCTTACATGTGGTCCGTTCGATGAATTACCCTGCGCTGCATGTGGTTCCATATCCTGCCTTTTATTTTGGAGGGCAAGGTTACACAGGCGGGGCTGGAGGCGTTGATTTTCTTGGCTGATTGGCATCAGAACCACATCTGCTGCGAGTTTTACACCGAGGAGACGATCCGACAGATGGAGATTGACACGCGCAAGTGAGTTTGTGCGAGGGCCCATGTTAGTGTCGTGAATCCTAGAGTCGTGTCAGTTGGGCGTCCAGCCACTGCATGTTATGCAGTAACTTTTCCGGGCGCTTAATTCTTTGTGTTCTCACGCCACGTCGAATCCCCATGCCCTTGACTCCCTGCTCAGTCCTTGGCAGGACGTGGCTTGCATGGCCGTCCCTTTACCCATGCCAGGTGACCGGCGTTGTCAAACCTCCTCCTCGCCAACGTTTTGCCCACAGCTCCGAGGAATGGCAACGGAACTTCCTTCGATCGTGGTCCTCACGATTACCCTAGACTTTGCTTCCCAGGTCAGGCCAGAGCTCTTCTCTCACGTGCAACGTCATGTGCCTTGTCCCCCTCTCCCACACCCCCTTGATCGTGATTGCAGACTGGTGCGGCTCTTGATGACTCAGTATTCACGGGATGGGCATGGTTGGAATCTCATTAAGATCCATGGCCTCAACCACATGCCCGAAGCCATCCGACGTGGCGGTCATCCGCGCGAGTATTCGACACGTTCGAAAATGCCCACGTCCGTTTGTGCAAGGAGCCGTTCCGGGCATCAAACAAGCGTGGCCATGTTGGGGGGCAGCTCGACACAGCATGCCATGCAGTGTCTTCCACCTGCGCTGGAGGGGGAAACGCACGAGTACAACACTGCGGCTAAGCGGGTGAGCGTACAGTGGTGCTTTCTGGCTGTGGGGTGGCTCTGGCTGATTGACGTCTTTACCGATTTTTTTCCACCTTGTATCTCGTTGTTGGATGTTTCCATCCTACAAGGGCACACCCACTGTGGGCTGTGTCAATGTCTCTTGGGTGTCGGTGCACGTCAGGGGTGATTCCCGACATCCTATGTTGTTTGTTTTGTCACCCTTGACCCACCCTCTAATCACGTCTTAACCTGGCCCACAGGATTCGGGGGGGCGGATCCTTGACCCTCGCATACGCTTCTCGTCTAACATTGACTGTTTTGGTACACCTCGTTTGTCACCCCACACTTCCACCCACTCTTAGACCCCACTCATCCCCCCCACCCTTCTCTCAGGCCTTGTCTCCCATTGATGCTCCATGCGTGGTGGATTCCCGGCAGAGTGCACCACACTATGTCCCACCTTGTCACAGGTTGCCCCTCCTTCCATGCCTATCAATCCCACACCCGCCCTCATCTTCCTCCCGTGTCTACCCCTTAGAGTGGAGGGGTCGCCCCACGCCTGGTCCTACGCGTGGCCCGCACGGCAATTGGGGGGACACAACTCGCTCAGTGGACTATGGCAGGTTTGCTGAAGGCCTTGGCAGCGGGTCGCTCCCAATTATTTTTGTTCCAACGTTGGGCAGGCACGCACCTGAGGCAGGCCGACTCTGACCACCAGTTCAGCGACCATCTCGGATGGGTGTGACGTCACAGCTCGCGGTTATTCGTTGTTCATGGAGTACAATGACGGGTGGAATTCTAGCTGGGTATTGCCGGGTCATGCAGAGGCACGGCTTCTCCAGCACTTAGGCATAGGTCAGCTCCAGGCCTTCCTCCGTTGCCTCTGTTTCAGCCCGTCTTGGTCGACTTTGGGAAACGTTTTCTGCACAGGCGCTTTACCTCCATTGCCTCGGTTTCACATCGCATGGTTGACTGTGGGGAACGTTTTCTGCGCAGGTGCACAGGGCAATTGCTCTACCAAAGAACGACGTGCGGACTGGTGAGGCAACGGCCCGATATGCGCGTGCTGCACCCCAACATTTTCGTTTGTCGAGTATGGTCCACCTGATACTGTGGCGGCGTATGGGAAGTTAGTGTTGCTGTTGTGTGCCCGCAAGGAGGATGTCGCTCAAGGGGGTGCTGCGCACGAGGTCGCATACATTAAGCCATGGAAGTGCGACCGCGTTGATGCCTTGGCGGGATGCATGAGGCTGCAGGAGGTGCAAAGTGTCAAACATGTTTATTGATCATGTTTGTATAGACTGTATAGGGTAACCTCCTAGAGGGTACAACATTTAGGTATATGTGCATGTACTCTCTAACTCTATCATCATTAAATTCTAGTTTTGAGACAAAGGCCAGATGCATGCGTCGTTGTTCCCGCGAGCAGTCTCAGACGTGTTGTCCACGTGGTGCAGTCTTTTGATAGGCCAAGGACATGGTTGTTGAACAAGTGGGCAGATGGGTCGCGGCACGGTGGGGTTTAAATGTTGGATGCGCTTTGATGTTGCCTCCTGAAGAGGCTGTTTTGGTAGTGACATTAAAATTGATTAACCCATTGGCTTCATGCCTTCAACCGCGGAATGGCTATTTGCGCTCAGTTTATTGTGCAGCAACCTACTTTCTGACAACTGAAATATAGTTTAAGAGGTGCAACTATTCAGTACATATAATGGGAGCCTATGCCGTTAACAGGGGCACCTAAGTCATAGTGATTGTCGGGCCTCTGGCGTTCTCTCGGAGCCTAATGCCCGGGCTGAACCAGGGACAATGCTCGAGCCGAAGGTGCGTCGTTTCATGTGTGTGGTTTCCTCTGTTTATATGGCAAAACACTTCGACCACAATCGCCATGTCGCAGACTTCGCCACACCCCTCATGTGACATTGGGGTTTGCTGGGGGTAACTTGCGGGGCACGAGCAGTGTGATACCCACACGAGCCCCTCCCTCGCAACCCAATTTCGGGGCTCACAATTTTGGGATGAATGTCTGAGTCAAAACATTCCCCAAACGTTCACCCAATCGCAGGCCCGCATCACCCTTTGCAGCACCCCTTCCGAAGGCACGCCGTCGTCACTCGCCCCACCCTCGCCGTTCTGCACATCGCCGTTCGCCCCACCATCGCCATTCTCTTTGTCGCCGCCCTCCATCTCGCACTTACCCTTCTCCCCGCCGTCTCCGTTCCCCCCTGTGCTGTTGCCGTGCCCCTTGCCAGCGCCATTCCGATCGCCGTCGCCGTGCGGCACGCTATCGCCGTTGTCGTCGCCATTCCTCAACCCCCTCATCGGAACCAAGAGGTCTCCCCCACCATTCATATTCCTCGAGAGCTACAGTGGGTGCAGCTCCTTCATGCACGTCATTGTGCTCGTCGCCTTCAGGCCAATCCTTGTCGGCATCGTCTGATTCTTTTGATTAGGCAGAGTAAGAAACATCAGATCCAGAATGACTCTTGGGAGGGGCAAAACTCTGTGGCTTCCTCATGACGCCTTTAGACTGCGTCATATGGATGATATTCCAGGGCAAGTTGTTGTGTTCCAGGGCAAGTTGTTGTGTTCTATGGCAAGTAGTTGTTGTAAGGAGGTTTCTTCATCATTGCTACCTTCTCTTCCTAACTCCTCAAGAAATGCTCTACGAGTACCACAAGCAGCAACGAGAAATGGAAGGAATGAGAGACAAGGATAGCCCCCCTCCAATTCCTCACCGTAGCGGTATGTGCCTGTACAAGAACCGCCATCAACGAGGAGAAGGGTCCCGGAGCAGTAGACCCATCCAACACGCAAGTTTAAAGCCGTTGACCCAAATTGCAGAAATTTTGTTTCAGGACTAATAACATTGAACACCCCCGAGCGGTAACCCAGTACCCCAAAGCGAGAGTTGCAATAGAATTCGCAGCCCAGAACAACGGGATTCAGAAGCAGCGCGCGCGCCACCCCCAACATATTCCGCACAACCCCCCGATACAGCTGGCGATTGAGCTGCATGAAACTTGAAAGCGCGCACATACAATTTGGGACTTTTGGGAGAGCAAAACCTAGCCCACAGTCGAGCCCTGTGGGGCGTGTTCAACACGAACTATGTAGTTGCGTTGCAGTAGTAACCTACTATGGAAAAACAACACAGACAATTTCTTGGCGCATGTTCAAACCGACAAAACCAGGAAACATGGATTGGAACGGAGCAATAAATCACGCCCCTGACAAAGAAATCCCTTCGTACGCATGCTGTGTGCTGCTCTGGTATTCTTCCCCCACTCCCCCCCGCGCCTTGCGCGCGCCCCCGCTTTCCCTTTCCCGAACCTCGATTTCCCCCAACCGTCGTTTGCGAATGTCTGGAATTTGTTCTAGTTTTGTTTGCTCGTTCTGATTGGTTTTCGTAATGTGCTATGTTCGCCCACTCTCGCCACCCTCACACCACTACTCCACTCCCCTATTCTTTCTCCAGTTCAACTTTTTGCCTGATTCATCTTTATTAATCGTATACCCTTTGGGCCAACGGCTTTAAGCACCTGCATGCCTACTTACATACGCTGGCAACATTGTTGCCCGCGCAATGGGAGGATGCGAATGGCATTTGCTGCCAACGCATTTCGAGAAATCATTGTCATGTATCGGCATATCTGATTTGTTTCCAATGCTTCATTGAAAAAATACCCCAAATAGTAAAAGCACATATTTTTCAACTAAGTTGTCAAAAACGCATTTATGATATAGAAATACTACTACTTTCACCATTTATAAGACACACATGCTAATTTTCTTAATCCGTAATCATCGACGATAAAGAGCGGGCAATGTTGGTGCATATGCAATAACATTCAGTATAGCTAAACATATATTATGCAAATGTTGCATTGTATGGTATGATAATGTAATATCTCGTGCGTGGTTCTAGGTTTTTTTTTTGTATAAATCCATGTGTTGATTGTATAATGTGATATGGATACCGTACTTATATGGATGATTGTGACGAGTGCCTGCAATAACGCGCGCTTAAAAGACAACGAATTGCTTGTCTTCGATAAAACCCAAATGAACAAACATAGGTTACGTTGTTGAGTGACCCGCTGGGGTTGCCCTTGAGATCCTCGGGGAAGGGCCACAGGTGCAGAGCCTGGGGGGCTATGGGCGCACTTACCCGCTATTCAACAAGCCCTTTTCACCCAGTGGTTAGTGGCTGGGTTTCTGACATGGTATCAGAGCCAAAGGTCTTGGGTTCAACTCCCAGTGCCAGCGCTGCAGAGGCGCTTGTGTCTTCCACCTATCCCAGCGGGGGGGGGGGGGTGTTGAGTGACCCGCTGGGGTTGCCCTTGAGATCCTCGGGGAAGGGCCACAGGTGCAGAGCCTGGGGGGCTATGGGCGCACTTACCCGCTATTCAACAAGCCCTTTTAACCCAGTGGTTAGTGGCTGGGTTTCTGACATACGTATGAAGAAAAACAATTAAATTTGTGCAAAATGCTTCTATACAATACACCATATTTGTTGCATGAACCATATATTTTTAATGCCTCCGCAATAAAGATATTTCATAGTTGCTACTTAAAGTTGTCTTCGCAAAAAAACTAAAAGGCCCTTGGGGTATTTCCAGCGTTGTATCATCCATCCATGTCAGACGCAAGAAGACACACAAGAAAACTACGGTGTGCCTGTATCGGCAATTAAACCTTGACGGAGAACAGTCGCATGTTACACGAATAGGCAATTGGCGCAAACGGTTACGCACGACAACAAAACTCCGCCAAATTGTGTGTATTTTTGTTTGGACGACCACCAGTGCCGTTAAATTTCGTAAACACATCTTGGATCGCTTGTTTATTTGTACGTCGGCATGAGGCACAAACAATCGCACATCCGATGTAGTGCTTGGAATTTTGTCCATGACTAATCTTTTAAGGAAAACTACCTTGAAAGTGTGTCGAATAAAAGGCAAACTTCCAGTTAGTCTAGAAAATACAAAGTTAGGTATTTTTCAGCCTCTGAGATTAAGGGAAAAATGTTGGTGCTACCTTGAATAACCTAGTAATCATAGGATCGTAAGGATGCGGATATTGATAAATGATTCACTTTTAATTATCTCTCCCATTTCCTCCCCTAGCAAAACTGCTTTTCCTACAAGCGAGCATAGGGTGGTGTGTGCTAGAGTTCTAATTGTCATTCTTTTGTGGATGTCATCGTGTCTTAGTACCACCCTACACGGAAGTGTCTGAATCCAAAACTTATGCGCTGCTACCCACCTCATACTTTACTTGAGCGTGTTCAAGGGTAGGGATAGATAGAATCCTGAACATTAAGGGTAGCGTTCATATGAGGCCGATTTCGTAAGGGTGGCCGAAAACCGAAAGTAGGCCCTGATTCCGTCAGCTTCAGAAGATACTCCCATAATCTCGGAAGACACTCCCACCATCTCGGAAGACACTCAGTCAGCCCCACATTGAGAATCAGTGCGCATTCCGTGCTCGTGTCATTCCAACATCCAGCCGTCATTTGCCCCATACTAGGAGACCCGAAGTTCCAAACGCTGGCAAACGGTGACTGGAAGCTGGGATGACACGAACGAGGAATGCGCCCTCACCCTCAGAAGTTCGGAAATATGACGAAGATAAGAAATTACATCGGCATGATGATACTCTGTCTGACTTTTTTTCTTGAGATCGCGCCAAATATTTCTCCGATCTTGCTGGATCAGCCACCAGATCCCGAAACCCAGGAACACATGGCAAGTGCAAAGTTGCTGACGAGGCAACTCTCCAGAACGCGTCTGCTGCGGTAGGAAGGTAGAAGCAGGGCGTGTCCAGAGTGCGATGCCGACGGATGTCGGCGGGTGTCGAGGGATGTCGAGGGAAGTAGGTGAGGGGTTTGAAGGGGTCGCACATGTCCAGAGTAGCCCCGACATCCACCCTCGACATCCTGGATCGCGAGCGGATGTCGAGTTTTGTCAAACAGTAACGGCGGGCACGGAAACTGAATCTTTTGGAGGGAGAGGTTCCGTTCGCAAAACAAATAAACGGACTACATGCCAAAAACAAGCGAAAGCGGAAACTCCTTCGCGCATCGCATGCAAAATTGTGCTGGACAATTTGGTTTGACGAATCTGACGAAACTTGTTACATTTCAAAATCTGTTCTGCAAAATCTCAAACCGGAGATGCCGGTCAAGGAGCTACAGTAATCATGGAATGTCCGGGCACTTTTTTTGAGCGTGGGGTGTCTAGAGTACTGAAAGTCCAGTCTCGACATCCACGGATGTAGGGCTCGGATGTCGTCGGATGTCGGTTTTGCACTCTGGACACGCCCTTACCTGTTGTCGTTACGAAACCAACGAAGTTGCGAAAAGGTGGGCGAGGAACGCTCCTTGGCTTCGCGGAGTGAGTCCAACCTAGTGGTACCCCTCCCACTGTTTTTACATAACCAGTTACCACTAACATAAGGGTGTCGCACGATGCGAAGAGTGTGTGGGAGACCTTGAAAGCAAGAGCCTTCTTTGAGAATCCCCTGCCGGTTCACTGCACTGGTGCTCCCTGTGCTGCACCTTCTATGGAGCATGCCACCAACAAATCATGGCAGGCTGATGGTCAATTGACCAGGCAAGGCTAGACCAAACCCAAGCCGAACTGCACTGACGTACAAGTCTCTTGGAAATTGGAAGCTGGTCCGCCAGCACCGTACGGCAACCAGCGATGCCTTGCTGGCAAGTTACCCCCTGACCCGTCGTGCTATGGCAACAGCTCAAGGCGCGGGGCTTCTCCCATGCATGCGAACGAACACAGCGGGTGCTGTGGCTCCAACACTCCATCACGCTTTCTTGCTCAGGCGTTTGATCGTGCCGCGGTTTGCAGCTAAGCTGACCTAGGATGCGAATACAGCTGAGCTGACATGAAATGCACGTGCTCGCAGTCATTGAGAGAGGGGAAGAAAGAGGCCGTGTCGACCTGGACTGCACGCTTTCCTGCAATGGGCTGCTCGCGTTTCCCCTCGACGTTTGCCATCATCACGCGGCCATGACTCTGCATGATCCAGTGAAAGCGAGCTCGTCGCGTCAGACGCACACCCGCGGCAGAGACGGCACTCCTCGTTCACATGGCGCTCGTTGGCAAGTTGTCTGACGTGGCAAGTCTTTATCTCCTCGTGGTGGAGCAGCGGCGCCCGCCGAACCTCGCCGTCGTCGACGCGACAATGCGCTGGGCCCTCCGTCGTCGCCAATAGGCCAAGACGGCCACGCGGGTCAAGGGCATCCGCGCTGAGCCATGGCAGCTGCTCCAATTATTGAGGCGCCTAGAAGATAGACTCCTCAGGCGAGTCAAGGGCGCCCGCGTTGACCCATGGCAGCTGCTCCTCCCCGCGTGTCAGTACGCGCGATTCTCTCCCAAGCACGCGTTGGCGTGAGCCGAGCCGCACAGAAGCTACGATTTTCTTGTTCTTGATGCCACCGGGCGTCGGCGCTGAATCTTGGACTTCGACCCCTTTCGAGGAAGGATCTCCTGGTCAATTCTTGGCGAGCAGGCGCAAGAAACGGGGAGACGGGCTTTCCGAACCCACCCACCACCCCCCTGTGCAAAGAAACTATATAGTATTACGAGGCGGTCCAAGATTCCTCATTGCTATCATCGGGTCGTCTTACCAAGAAACGTGACCTCCAAGTCTTGTGCTCTACCAAGTCGCCGCTAGGAGTGCAACCAAACCATATCGTAGCAGTACTAGTGCCGCACCACCAGCCTCCCTGCGCACCGGTCTTCAGCACCACCACTTCAATCGCTGTGACTGCGAAGAACGCTCGCCTCCTGACGTCCTCGGCTCGTCTGGACTGACTGACTGCCTGTCTGCCTGCCTGCCTGCCTGCCTGCCTGCCTGCCTGCCTGCCTGCCTGCCTGCCTGCCCGTCTGCCTGCCTGCCTGCCTGCCTGCCCGCCCGCCTGCCTGCCTGCCTGCCTGCCTGCCTGCCTGCCCGTCTGCCTGCCTGCCCGCCCGCCCGCCTGCCTGCCTGCCCGCCTGCCCGCCCGCCTGCCTGCCTGCTTGCCTGCCTGCCCGCCTGCCTGCCTGCCCGCCTGCCTGCCTGCCCCGCCTGCCTGTGGTCCTACCCTCCCTCAAGAGCTGGAGTCATGGGATACCGACGTGGCTTGTCCTCCCCTCTGCTGCCATCTCTGCGGCTGCTGCTGCTCCTCGCTGCAGCGTGGCTGGTCCTTCTCCTGCTGCTCGTGCCGTCCCCTGCTGTCGCCACTCCCATCAACAGCGCCCAAGGTCTCATTCTCCTTCTCGCTGCACCTCGCCTCGCCTCCCACCCTCTCCCACCCTCTCCCATCCCCCTTGTGTGTGCAGCGCTGGTGCCAATGTTGTGCGCTGCAGCACGGTGCTGAGCACTGTCCAGAGGCCATAGCCCCTCCCCTTCCTCCTCCCCCCTTTCCTCGCCCCGTTTACCTCTTGTTACGTGCAGCGCTGGTTTAGATAGAGTGCGCAGCAGCATGGGCCCGCAAGTTCAGAAGCCAAAACTTCTCCCCTCCCCTCCGCCCTCCGCTCCCCTCCCATTTCCTCCCCTCCCCTCCTCTCGCCTTCCCTCCCCCTCTCCCCTCCCCTCCCTTCCCCTTGCAGCGGCGGTGCTGGTGGAGTGCGCAGCAGCATGGGGCCGCACGTTCAGCGGGTGGAACGTGGGGGGCGACTGTGCCAATGCGCAGTTTATCTCCTGCGACGGCACGGGGCTCATCACCGCTATGTGAGATGGGGGGGTGGGAGGTGATGAGGGAAAGGAAGGGAGGAAGGGAGGGGGAGGGAGTTTGGATGGGAGGGGGGGGGATGGAGCGAGGGGCGGAGCCATGTGAGCCTTCAGCCATGTGAGCCTTCAGCCATGTGAGCCTTCAGCCATGTGAGCCTTCAGCCATGTGAGCCTTCAGCCATGTGAGCCTTCAGCCATGTGATTCGGAGGGAAGAGGGATGTGGGAGTGTGGGCCATGCTGTGACAATGTTTCACTCAAGTGTGTGCATGCGTGTCTGCGTGCGTGTGTGCGTGTGTGTGCGAGTGTGTGTGGGTGTGTGCGTGTGCGTGCGTGTGCATGCGTGCGTGTGCGTGCGTGTGTGCGTGTGTGTGTGTGCATGCGTGTGCGTGTGTGTGTGCATGCACAACACTCAAAACAACACATCAGGTCGTTGGACGCGAAACAGCTAGTCGGCTCCATCCCAACAGCCCTTGGCACTCTCACCTCTCTCACCACTCTGTACGTCCTTCTCACCACTCCAAATTGATCCTGCAGCTGCTCTGTATAGATCTTCCACTCTCACCCATTTCAACCCCTTTCTTCCACTCCCACCCATTTCAACACCTTTCTCCCACTCACACATTTCAACCCCTTTCTTCCACTCTAGATTTCTCTGCACTGCACTGCTGAATTCTTGTCCCCCCACCCCTGCTTTCTGCCCCACCAACTAATGCACTTAACCCTCCCTTCCCACCGTCTCCCCACCACCCACCCGCACTCACCGGGGCCTTCTTTCTCTGTGTGGGCAGTAACCTGTCCTCCAACTCCCTAGAGAACCCCATCCCTGACTCCTTCAGCAACCTTGTCTCCCTTGCCTCTCTGTGAGATGGGCGCACCTGTAGCCGGTTGGGTGGGATGTGCAGTGGGAAGGGACGGACGGACGGGGGTAGTAATTGTGAGAGGGGGGCGAGCCAGGTGCGTGTGGGATGTGCGCTTTGTTCTGCTCTGTTCGGCTCGGTTCGGTTCAGTTCGGTTCCGTGCCTCTCCTTCTCACTCTTCACTTGCTTGCACCCACGAGTCCTCTCCATCGCCCTCCTCTGTGATCCCCATCCGTCACTCTCTATCCCCCTCTCACCACCAACTCTCTATCTATTCTGACTGCCATTTCGCGCATGACCGCTCTTAAGAACCTGTGTGTGCCATGCCGTTGCCGCCTCCCACACATGGTCTCTGCAGCAACATGTGCTTCCATTCCTCACCTCCCCACACATCTCATCTCAATTCCGCCTCATGCCTCAAGAATCATGCCTCATGCCTCATGCCCCCACATCCTTGACTCATGCCCCCACATCCTTCCCTGCATGTCCCAACGCCGGCATGTCTTGCCGCCAGCAATCTGTCCAGAAACGAGCTCAGTGGAGCCATTCCCCCGACCATCGGCGCCCTCACCTCCCTCCAGCAACTGTGAGCGCCACCCACACAGCAGCAAGCTGACAGTGCAAGGCTGAATTTGCGAGGCTGTCTGAGGTTTGGAGTGACTGGGAATGCTGCTGAAGGATAAGTGCATGCAGGCATTGAAGGGCATCACGTCACAACTAACCCGTGCTCTTGAATCCAACTACTTTCCGTTTAGATGACCTCCTTCCATCCAGTCAAGCAAAACAAGACAGATTTCACTCTCGAATTCGACTCCAGACCAGACTCACTAATCCGAGCTCCGAGCCTCAAATGCGACTCATTGGATACAACCGTAGATGCCTATGCTGTGCTCTGCTATCTCTCCCCCTCCTCCCTCCCCACCTTCCCCCTCCACCTTTTCCCTCCCACCTCTTACTGTCCCTGCACTGCATGCATGCTCCTCCATCAGCTTTCTCTCCCACAACATGCTCACAGCAAGCTTTTCGACTCAGAAGAAGCTTCCACAACACAACTGTCCCAGAAGAAGTCTATTTTCCAGGCACCTCAGAAACAGAATGCCTCGTCTGTCTTACTGTGTATGTGTGTGTGTGTGTGTGTGTGTGTCTTTTCTGTCGGTCTGTCTGTCTGTCTGTCTGTCTATGAGTGTGTGTGTGTCTGTCATTGTGTGAGTGTGTGTGTCTGCGTGTGTGTGTGTCTGTCGGTCTGTCTGTGTCTGTTTGTCTGTGTGTGTGCAGCCTTTTGTCCCAGAACAAGCTCACAGGAAACATTCCAACGGAGATGGGCAAATTGCTGCGGCTTCAGTCCCTGTCAGTGCACTGATTGATCGACTCATTCATGGGTCCTTGCTTGAGACGTCTCAAAACTAACCGACTTAACCATTGCTGCTCCGATCCCTGTCAGTGCATTCGTTGATTGACTCATTCATGGGTCCTCGCCAGCTCTGTTCCATTCTATATCACTCTTTTTGGGAGCTATCACTCGTATGCCATTGCATACCTCTCGCTCTCTCATTCCTCTCGCTCCCTCCCCACTTGCTCCTCCTCTCGCTCCTCCTCTTGATCCTTCTCTTGCGCCTCCTCTTGCTCCCCCTCCTGCATCCCCTCAATACCTTCCCTGCCGTTGCTCATGCTGCTCTGCTTTTTGCAAGAAAAGAAGCAGCTGTGCGTGTGCACGCACACACACACACACACGCACACACACACGCACACACACGAACACACACACACATGCACTTCCTTCGCCCATTAAAATTCCCCCCCTCCCCTCCACAGGTTCTTTGACTACAACCAGTTGGTCAACAGCATTCCCGACGCCCTGACTGCCCTCACCAACCTCGAGCACTTGTCAGACCTTCCTCCCACCCTTCCCTCCCATCCATCCCACCCCATCCCATTCCACCCCATTCCACCTCACCCCACGCCTCCAGCTATCTGGACTACAACCAACTTAGCGGGGTCATACCGAGCACCTTCGGGCAGCTGAAGCAGCTCACCTGGCTGTATGTGATTGGCTTTAACGTAGCACCGTGCCATCTCATGCGCTGCCATCCGTGCTGCCATCTCATGCGCTGTCCTCCTACACCTTGCTTCTTTCTCGCATCTTCTCAGCACATGCGTCAACGCATGCATGCACGTCCACGACTGTGCATTCCTACTCCCCTCCATTCTCCTTCACCGCACCCACCACCATAATCCCAGCCACTTCTTTGTCATTTGCCTTTGGTTCAGGCCTCACGATTTCACACCATCCGTTAATCACCCCACCATCCCTCCCATATACATGCAGATATCTGTCTCGCTCTCTCTTCACCATGGCCCTCGCTCTCCTTGCCCCATCTGCCCTCCAGCTCCCTCGCCTACAACAGCCTCACTGCTATTCTTGACGACCTCACCCCACTGGGCAATCTCGTTGGACTGTGCGTGAATCAACTCCAACTCTCCCACCCACCTCTGCTCCTCCCTTCTTCCTGTCTCCCATCCCCCTACCATCCCTTTTCCCACCTTCCTTCTCCCCACCCACCTGCCCTCCCCACCTGCCCTCCCCACCCTGCCCTCCCCACCCGCCCTCCCCACCCTGCCCTCCCCACCTTGCCCTCCCCACCTTGCCCTCCCCACCGTGCCCTCCCCACCGTGCCCTCCCCACCGTGCCCTCCCCACCGTGCCCTCCCCACCGTGCCCTCCCCACCGTGCCCTCCCCACCGTGCCCTCCCCACCGTGCCCTCCCCACCGTGCCCTCCCCACCGTGCCCTCCCCACCGTGCCCTCCCCACCGTGCCCTCCCCACCGTGCCCTCCCCACCGTGCCCTCCCCACCGTGCCCTCCCCACCGTGCCCTCCCCACCGTGCCCTCCCCACCGTGCCCTCCCCACCGTGCCCTCCCCACCGTGCCCTCCCCACCGTGCCCTCCCCACCGTGCCCTCCCCACCGTGCCCTCCCCACCGTGCCCTCCCCACCGTGCCCTCCCCACCGTGCCCTCCCCACCGTGCCCTCCCCACCGTGCCCTCCCCACCGTGCCCTCCCCACCGTGCCCTCCCCACCGTGCCCTCCCCACCGTGCCCTCCCCACCGTGCCCTCCCCACCGTGCCCTCCCCACCGTGCCCTCCCCACCGTTGCCCCCCCAATCCCACTGCTCAAACGGAGCCTCACGCCCTCACACCCTCTCACACTTGTTCCACTAGCTAGTCTCCCCATCCCTCCCTGCCGTTGGTGGTGAGCGAAACTGCAAGTGCAAATGCAATGTGTGTGATATGCAGCAGCAGCAGCAGCACCTGCTGCTGCTGAAAGTTGAAACCCGGACTGCTCGTTGTTTCGACGATCTGGCGAGGCAGCAGTTTTCCAGGAGCTTTGAAGAACTTTGCTTTCACTTGCTTCTCTATGTCGCCCTCTACCCCATCAGGGATGTGTCCCATAACATTATCACAGGCACCATCCCTTCCGCCATCTCCGCCCTCACCCGCCTTACTGCTCTGTATGTGCCGCCCTCTCTGTATGTGCCGCCCTCTCTGTATGTGCCGCCCTCTCTGTATGTGCCGCCCTCTCTGTATGTGCCGCCCTCTCTGTATGTGCCGCCCTCTCTGTATGTGCCGCCCTCTCTGTATGTGCCGCCCTCTCTGTATGTGCCGCCCTCTCTTTATGTGCCGCCCTCTCTTTATGTGCCGCCGTCTGTCCCTTCTTTCTCATCCTGCCCGCTCCCCCCCTCCCTCTCTTCCCTGCTTCCCCCCTCTTTCCCCCGGTGCCAGCATGCTCGACTACAACCAATTGGATTCGCCCATTCCCCAAGGCTTTAGTGCACTGACTGCCTTGAAGCTCATGTGAGACCCAGCCTCACTGAAATGGCGCACAAGCACCATTTCTGGCTACTGCTTGCCTGAATGGGCGTGTGGGAGCACCTGTGAGGCGCGGCAGGGAGTGGGAAGCGGGAGAGTGTGTGGTTGTTTGGGTGTGTGGGGTTGGGGTGGGTGTGTTGACAGCTGTGTCAATGAGGGGGCCCTGGAAATAGGGGGGGTCGAAAAAGGGAGGGGGAAATGGCTGAGGGCCCCAAAGGTGTCACATCTGTGCTTCGGTTGGACTTCAGTGCTTTCTGATACCCGTGGCTGTGTTCTCGACGCCTGCCCTTCTCTCTAACCTCTCACCTCTCTCTCTCCCCCCTCCTCCCCCCCCTAACCTCAGAGATTTGAAGAGTAATAACTTTGCTGAGGCCCTTCCACCTGTCTTCTTCACAAAGATGAAGAGTGTGCAGTACATGTGAGCTGCTGAGGGCATGTGGACGTAAGGGCTGAAGGCTTGAGGTGTTTACACAAGTGTACCTGTGTGTGTGAATCTGCCAGAGCTCAGAGCTTTACCGCACCTCTGGGAACATTTTCAGTGCATTTGTAGCCTTGGGCACATAATTTCATTGTCGCCTTCCTCTTGTCTCCTGATGAGCTAGTCAGTCAGCTCTGGTTCACAGCGCACCGTAGCGGCCCCATGCTGTGCACATCGATGCAGCCCCACGTCACCCTCCCATCTGCATGTGAGGCCATTCTAGATGCTTCCTGTCTCCTCCTCTTCCCCCCCCACCTAACCTCCTCCTTCCCCCCCAAACTCACCCCCCCCCCCCCCCCCCCCCCCATCTCCTTCCCCCCCATCTCCTCCCCCCCATCGTCCCATGTGTGCAGGAGCCTGGGAGAAAACGACTTCACTGGAAGCATCCCTACATCCATGACCTCTCTTACTTCGCTCACACATCTGTGCGTGTCGCTCACATACATGTGCATGCGTTTTACCTGAGTTGCGCACTGAGCTGTGCACTTGAGTGAGCACGCTACAGGCAACGGGCACCCTGAAGCAGACTGCCCTGGGCCGGGGTTGTCAGAAACGGGCTTCAAGGGCCTTTCATTGCGCCTAGAATGAATGAATGGTGGTGAAGACAGTGAAACATACGAGTGGGCTTCATCGTCCCCCCTCCCTCCCCTCCCCCCTTCCCCTCCCTCATCCCCTTTCTCTTTTCCTCCAGTGACCTCGGTTCCACGAAGCTGGCAGGCCCTATCCCAACCGTCATCACGAAAATGGGACACTTATCCTACCTGTAATGTTCTGCTGCCAGTTATCCCACTTGTAATATTCCGTTCCTTGTTTTGCCAGTAGCATGCCTTCGCCTGTAACATGCCCTCGCCAGGGCATAGCACGGGGATGTCAATGTAATATGCAATACCATCCCGTGCCTCTGTTAGCAGACTGCCATATTTCCCGTGCTCTGCCTTGTGCTTCGATGTCAGCCCTAGGTCTGTATGAATCTCCTTTTTCCCTTCACGCCTGACTTGCCTCCACGTCATCTGATTCGCCCATTACTTTGACTTCCTCCTCTCCTTCCGTTCTTTGGACTCAATACATTTCTCTGCTCCCCCCTGCCTGTCGCCTCTTCCTTTTGATTCTGCTGCGTTGTTGCTGTGCATGCCACCATGCGTCATTCCATGTGCCACCATGCATCACCATCCATGGCCAACAGTGACGTTGCTATTGACACACTCTATGGCTCTATTCCTGCTACCATGGGCTCCATGCTCAATCTGCAGTTCCTGTAAATCACTCTCCCCGCCCCCCTAACTTTTCCCAGCATCTCCAATTCACATCTAGCCTGAAATCCTCCCACCGTTGACATCCTTCCCTCACCACCAAGCCTCACCAAACCTCTGCTGCTGCTCCTCTTCATAGTTATGGAACTCTGGAATTCCTTCATGGTTATGGCACTCTGGAATTTGCACCTACACCCCCCCCCCACCCTTTCTCCCCCCTGTCCCCACGACTTCCTCCCTCATGTACCTTCTACCCCTCACAGGCTCGTGAACCCTTCTGCGACGCCGTGTGGTACTGCTGGGCGGTGCGAGGTGGTGCAGTACTCGGGCACAGCCTTCTGCCGCGACTGCTCCAACTTCTGCGACACGTGCATCAAGGGTAAGGAGGAGGGCGCAGCAGGGGAAACATCTGGAAGGGGTGTGTATGGGAAGGGGGAGGAGGGAAGGGGAGTGTGCAGAGTAGTGTTTTTAGGCAAAACAAGACCGGGGTATAATCGTGACATGTGATTGTACCATGCATGCCACTGTGTGTGCGCTCTTTGCTTGGAGTCAGATGCTCGCACCATGGGTCGGTTCGTGCGTGCGTGTGGGTGTGTGGGTGTGTGTTGTAATGGAAGGATCTTGAGGGTGATGTGCTGGTCAATGCTATATTGATCTGTCTAGTGATGCACGAGTCGGGGAATCGACTATATGCCCCGCTCATGTCACTTCCGAGCACATGCACTCATGTGGCTTCTTGGACACATCCACCACCACACCCCCCTCTCCTCCACTCTTGATCTTCCAGTGAAACCCGCCCCTGGGAAGTGCAAGAAGCAGCGCCGTCCCTGCCCTAAAAACCCCTGCCGTGGCCGCCTCTGCATTCCGTACGTTTTCAGCTGCAAGGGCTACAAGTGCCTCTGACTCCCTTGCAAGGGGCCAGCTAGAGTGGCAAGGGTCACTGGTGCACAAGGATGATAACTGTACATGATTCCATAATAAGGTGTCACATAGTTGGGACAAGGGAGTGTTCCCATGTTGGGCCGAGATGGTTGCGGGAACCAGGACATTGGGACGGAAGTTGAAGAGGGGGGGGGGAAGGGGAGAGGGGTTTTGTTGGCGCCAGGTGGCAGGGCCTTTTGTGTACAGCGCTTTGTTTTGGTGGGCTGTGGTGGGCATCTAGTAAAGCTGCGTAGCGACCTGTAGAAGACAGCTGTCAGTTAGGGTTTGCTTGTTGGATGCGTGCATGCTTGGTATGTTGTACATAGGCATGCCTGTTGTGCAGGTTGGCTTCAGGAGGGAAGGGATGAGCTGCTAGCAAGATCTCTTGTATATAGGGTTTAGGGATCTTGTATATATGAGCTGCTAGCAGCAAGCTGACTCTGCTTGATTGTTTGTTTCCTCTTGGAATGGATTTAGAATATTGCTTCAACACCGGAGCTAAGCCAGGGCATGGATGAGCCTGTTGATTAGTGTGGTGTGGTAATTTTTCAAGTGGGTAGTGTTAAAATTATATATTGTGTGATATAATTTGTAGGCTTGGTAGGTTTTATTGAACTCTACTGTAGGGGGTACAACCCCCTTCTTTGTACCTCTCTCCCCTTCTAATTGATACATTTTCTCTCGTATCTTCTCCCCCTAGTCAAAACCTCCTCTCGTATACTATGGCCGCCTAGTTCTTCCTAGTTCAAACACGGTATCAGAGCAGATCGTTTCTCATGGGCCTGCTCCCCATGCTTCCGCTGCGCATTTCTCTCGTCACTTTCGTGCCGCCGTAGCGACCATACCGACTTGCCGTGGCGGCTTCGTCGAGCTGCCGTTTCAGCCTCGACGCGCCGCCATGGTGGCGTCGGCGCCTTGCCATGGCGACGTCGTCCTGCTACCAGTGCAGCGTCGACATGCCGCCACGGCATCGACGCCGCACAGTGGCGGCGTCGCCATGCTGCTGTGGCAGCGTCGACGGGCGGCAGCGGGCAGCACGCCGTTGTAGCCGCCACCAGCTCGCCCACAAGCCAGCCAGCGCCGCATCAACCGCGACGCTTTGCCGAAGCCACACCTTCTTCTCTACACCCACCCCTCATTCCTGCTCCAGCTGCTGTCTTCTACCGCGGCTCGTTGCTTCGCCGTGACACCCAACGAGAGCCTTCAGCCATGGCCGTTGCCCGCTGCCTCTCGCCCGGGATGACACGGGGGTAGATACCCGGCTGCTGAAGGGCATGGGGGTGTAAGGGTTTCTCTTCCTCCTGCCGCAGCTCCTGCTTCTACCTGGTCGTCGTCTCGCCGTGCCACCGTCGAGAGCCTTCAGCCATGGCCGGTGCACGTGCTGCCTCTCGCCGAAGGATGGCACCATGCCAGGACGAGGGTAGATGCTCGGCTGCTCACGTACATGAGGGTGTAAGGGGTTAGGGGGTGTCTAGTGTTGGGCGGGCTTGTGACTACCAAGCCTAGGGGGTGTGTTAAAAATATATATTATGTTATATAATTGGTAGGCTTGGTATGTTTTTTTGAACTCTACTGTAGGGGGTACAACCCCCTCCTTGTACCTCTCTCTCTTTCTAATCGATACCTTTTCTCTCGTATCTTCTCCCCCTAGTCAAAACCTCCTCTCGTATACTATGGCCGCCTAGATCTTCCTAGTTCAAACAGGTAGACCATCCGGAGCAGACGCACGCAAAGCAAAATGGGGAGGAGGGTGAAGCAGAGAGCAGCACGGAGGAGTTGTGGTACGACAACATAATAATACATGCCCTCATTCTGGCATTAGACAAGAAGACGTTGCGTAGTGGCACTTCAAATTTGACATTGTTGCTGTTACTATAATCTCCCGGATATAGGACACTGTATCGACTTCTGTATTGCATGTAGATGCGTTCTACGTAGGGAGTTATGATTGTACGAGCAAGCCCCAATGAAAGGAATAAGCAATTCCTTACTGAGGCTTATTACAGAGCGTACGACTCGAACAGTCCCGAACCAGCGATAGGGTTCCAGACCTTTCAGTTCGAGCCTCCTGGGCCTTTCCGGACCTCGCTTCGACATATCGAGGCCCTTCGACACTTTTCCCAAACCTTCCGATCCTACGTTAAGAATCTCCCTAGGTTTCCTATGTTAGAATGTCGAAAGAAAAGTGGTCTAAGGGAGGAAGGCTGACGGTTACAAAGGTGGGAATGTACCCTCTAAGAACTGACCTAACTAAGGCTATAACAAATAAACTAAACCTAGCATAGACAATTATATTTGTTGACACACCCCCTAGCCAAGATAGTGGCAAATCCTAATAAATAAAAGTATGTTAAATTATATATGTTAGTATATAATTGTAGGCTTGGTAGGTGTTACTGAACTTTACTGTAGAGGGTACAACACCCTTCCTTGTATCCCTCTCTCTTCTATTCCCAACTCCCTCTTTTTCACTCCTCAACTTTCCTAGCCTAAAACCTCTCGCCATTTTCATGGCTCCTCCTATCTCCTAGCTAACCCTCGTGCCGTTCTATGGCTTCTTCGCTAAGCTAGTCTTGTGACACAGTACACAAGGGCAGCACTACTAGTCCGACCTCTGATGAGTGTAATAAGAAAACTCAGGGCAGTACTACTAGTCTAACCACTGAGACTAGAGGCCACACGGTCAATCAGTAAGTGTAGCAAGACAAGCCGATACAACACAACAAGTACAGGCAGGTATAGTATGACTCAGAATACAAGGAGAGGTGCTGCTACTGAGGCTAGATCAAGCTGAGTACAGAACCGCTGATGGTCACGAGACGCAAGTGCCTTGGTGAAGATATCAGCGGTGTTGGCCTCTGAGGCCAACTGTACTACACAGACCTGACTGCGTTGCTGCAACTCTCGCAGTAGGAAGTACCGCAGCTGGATGTGCTTCGCTCTGCCCTCAAGTCGTGCCTCCTGACACAAGAGGATCATGGCCCTGTTGTCAGCAAACACGACCGAGGCAGACCTAGGCTGCTCACCTAAGTCTCTGGTCCAAGAGACTGCACCAGCACCAAGACTAAATCTGTAGCCCTGAGTCGACCTGAGCGTCTCCAAGTCGTCTGCCCACGATGCGTCTGTGTGTCCAGTAAGCACCACTCGCTCCCGTCCTCCTAGCACAAGCCCCAGTCCTGATGTGCTCGCTAGATACCGCAGTACCCTCTTGGCAGCCAACCAGTGGACTGGTCGGTGCCTGCCTGTCGCGACAAAGCGAGCTAGGAGACTGGGAAAGTACGCTAGATCTGGTTGAGTGCAGGTCATCAGGTACATGAGGCACCCCACCAGCTCAGCGTATGGACCACTAGCCTCGACCAGCTCAGCCGGAACAGGAGCAGAGAGCTTGTGATCCACAACCTGGGGGGTGGGCTGTGCTGAGGAGAACTGGAGACTAAACCTCTGGAGGATCTGCTGCACTATATGGGACTGGGAGAGTGTGATCGTGCGAGCGGCACAGTCACGAGAGATCTCCAAGCCCAGATAACACCTTAGCTCTCCCAAGTCTGTACAGGTGTGTCTGCTAAGTATCTCGACCTTCACTAAGGCCAGTGCCACTCTGTCAGGAGTAGCAAAGATAAGATTGTCCACGTACACTAGAATGTAGAACGGTGTCTAGCCCGTGCGAACAAGCAGAGTGGGATCAGCAAAGGATGGAAAGAACTACAGCTCAGTAAGAGTGGTGCGAAGCATGTCGTGCCACTCACGGGGTGCCTGACGAAGGCCGTAGACAGGACGGCGCCGGCTCCACTGGGTCCTAGGTGGGAAGGACCCAGAGAAGCCTATAGGGCGCCGGAGGTGCTAGTGGATATGGAGGATGCCATCTCAGTCTCCATGGCTTGTATCCACTGGGCTGTCCAGGGCCCCGACACCGCCTCAGTGTAAGAGCGCGGAACAGGGATGTCGAGAGCATCTAGGTCGCCCTCTGGGGATACAAGAATGGAGCACAGATGGGGAACAGCGGCAGCAAGGTAGGCCAACTCGTACTGCCTGTCCTCTAGCACGTCACTGTCAAGGGCAGGTGCACCCCCGACGGACGGAGGACGGACAGTACCAGAGACCTGAGCGGCAACGTAGTCAAGGCGGTGGCTAGCAGTAAAGTCAGCGACAGCAGCGACCAGCGCGGAGACAGACTCAGGAGGAGCAGTAGGGTCAGTGACAAGCGACGCAAGCAGGCGCGACAGGATTGGACGAGCAGTGCGAACAGCGTCGGAGCGAGGAGGGGGGGACGATGGTAGCGACGGCGGGGGAGGCAACAGGAGGACTGTGACGGGAGGAGCACGCAAACGAAGGAGCATAGGGTGGACACTAGGATGGGGAGAGACAAGACGAGCACCAGAGGGGCGACGATCCCAGTGGGGAAGATTTGGGGACTGGGGACGAGGGGGGACGGGGGACAGGTCAGTGGAAGGAGGGGAGCGCGGGGGGAAACGAGCCAGAGAGGTGTCCGGAGGAGGAAACAACGGGCCGTAAATAGGGTCACGCACCGGAGGGGGAACGGGCGGGCTGACAGGGGAACCTGCAGCAAGACCAAGGAGATGAAGGGCAAACTGCGGCGGCTCTTGCTGCGGCGGCTGCACCTGCTGCTGCTGCTGCTGCCTGCCCGCTCCAGGACCTCCAGTGGCACCCCAGCTGCCACCCGCACGCTGCGGAACAGCATCCCCAAGACTAGCACCCTCAGTCTCACCACCTACCGAACTAGCACCCCTGGAGTCAGCACCTCCAGAACTCGCACCCCCTGAACCAGCACCCCCAAAGCCCACGGCTCCCTGCTGCTGCTGAGGCAAGGGAGTAGGCGGCTTAGGGGCATGGGGGACCGAGGCTGGGGGAGGCGCCACAGGGACAGCAGGCGCACCCCCAGCAGCTGGGCCCCCAGAGTCAGCCGACTCCCCCACAAGGGGAACCGAGGGGAACTGAGTGGCGTGGGAGACACCAGACTGGGCCGGGCGGGGCGGGAGGGGTGCTGCAGGGGGGGCAGGGACAAGGAAGAGAGGAGGAGGAGGCACAGGAGCGCTGCGGTCCGGGAAGCGCGGGTAGTAGAGGAGCGTCTCGTCAAAGGTGACGTCACGAGAGTGGTAAAAACGGTGGTGTGAGGGGTGGTAGAACAACCAGTCAGAGGCGTCAAGCGGGAACCCCAAGAAGACACAAGGAAGAGTGCAGGCTGAGAGCGTGTCCGTAGCAGTATCGCGAACGTGAGCAAGGCTGCCTCACACGTGGAACGCAGGCGCGTCACCAGGAGACCCGGTCCAGAGGAGGGTCGGCAAAACCTGTGGTCGCTGGGAGCGCGGCCACAGGTTAAGCTGGTGAGTAGCGTAGCGCACGACGAACGGCCATAGAAAATGGGGTGCACCGACGAGGACCATGGAGGTGCGAGCCACCTCCATGATCAGGCCGATGTGTCGCTCAGCAACCCCATTCTGCTGTGGGGAGTCTGGCAGTGTGTACGTCTGGC